TATATATATATGACAGATTTTGTACAAAAATGAGCATAAGCAACAAAAACAGGTTAAAAACACAAGCAAGAAACAGTTGTTTCATATGACCTTTTTACAAGATATGCTGATTTGAAGTTGCACATTTTAATCCTGGCTTTTGTTTGGCCAAAAATCTAGAGATGTTTTTTGTCCCATTGCCAACAGAAATCATCAGCATCTACTTTTACTCCTGACTACTCCGTGTGCGCGACGGTGTCTTACCGTTCAGCATCCCACAGATGACACAGAGGAGCTCAGTCTCTTCGTCTGGCTCCCTAGCACAGCCACACCAGTGTAGAGGCTTTAAGACTACAAGTAAAAATATATATATTTGTGGTGAAAATGGTTTTATTGAAACAAGAAAAAAAAATCCAACACTTGAAATGTGTAAACAATTATAAACTGTGGGGAGATAATCTGTTTATTTGGTAATCTGCCTGCTACAGAATCATTTGTATTTGTTAAATGTATTTATTTTTTTAATAATTATCTGAACATAGTATGGATAAATGTAATATTAACATTAGAGCCCCTATCTTTGACTCCTATATTTGAAATAAGATGTGTAGTTGAGAGGTGGAGTGGGGGTTAGTGTATTCAGGTACAGCAAAATATCGTATTTTATTGATCAAAAGGTCTTTTGAGTGACCAAGTTACTTCAGACAATTTAAGAAACCCATTTTTACAAGTAATGTGTAAATTTAGTTTTAATACGTGGCTGGTCTGCCTACTTCAAACTTTAAAAAGGGTGCTGCCTTTTTTCTGTGTTTGTTGATTTTGTTTTTGTCCCTGTAAAGAAACTTCTCACAACAACGTCGGCTCCCTTCTGTCAATGCAGTAGGGTTGGGCATAATCGCATCGTGTGCAATTAATCGTCAGAAAAACATTAATCGATTACTTTTTGGCACTTGACGATTAATACAATTAACGCCACCAGGCAGAGTCTGGTCAGAGCTCCTCTCTGCTTCAAATATGATGAACATTAAAAAAAGTTTTGTAATTTATTTATCATCAACACAATTTATAATTTGATGTTTAGCCTGAAGTTTGTAATTTTGACACAATTTGGAACAGATTTTTACGAAGAGTAAATCTTTCCCACTAAATTGGTCATGTGACCAGGACATAAGGGTGTCCAGGGACTCCAGGGCATAAGTCGTCAAATTAATCGTTATCGGCTAAATACCACAATTAATCGTGATTATTTTTTTTGCCAATATTGCCCAACCCTACAATGCAGTACAACAAGTAGCCTGTAGATGGCGCTGCCACCCTTAAGTCTTAACCAGCAAAGAGTTTAGGCCTGTTTGCTGCATCTCAGTGGTTTAATTATTGTTTTGGACTCTTAATTTGCTCAAATTTCAACAGAATGGGCAGCTGCACAAAGAAAAACTCGTTAACATGCGTGCTTGCTGAGCGCAAGTAACACACCAAAGCACAGTTGTTGTTTTTTTTTTTCTTTATCTGCCAAAAATCACCCACAATAATTGGCAAAACTTCCTGTTTATGTTATATAATGTCCCTTAGTGGCTTCTGAAGATACAAAAAGCACATATCAGTCTATTGTTCAAATTAGAATTGAAGTATTTAAAAAAATTACGGTTTCTTTCCCCGTTTTATCAACAAGTGTTGCGGTTGTGGTTAAAATGCTGTATAGAAGCGCAGGTCTTGTGATTTGATGGAACTGAGAAAAGTGTGTCAAGATAGTCGTGCCATCTGAATGTCCCCATATTTCACCTCTTCTCACTTCAGAAAGGCTTTCAAACCCAATTGTACTCATTTGAATCTTTGTTCCTCTGCAGCAATTACAATTCATGCAATAAAAACTTTACCATTTCACTGCCTGTTGAGACAAGTGTGTGTTCTACCTCTTACTTTGATTAGACCCTTCTCTCTCTGGTCTTGTTCATTGTGTAAACTATTAAAGCACTAGTGTTCCTTCAAGAAATGCACATCACCCGCTGTCGTTCATAGCAGTTTTTGACTGGGAAATGATAGTTGTAGCTTTATCGCTCAAAGCTGGAAAATGATGCCACTATGCATGATCTCATGTGAAACTGCCAGACGATCACAGTCAACATGATCTTTATCTGAAAAAATCAGTTATAGCTAGTTTTTGTGTTGCCTAATGCTAATTCATCCCAATGGCTGTCATTAAATAGGATTGTCTCCAAAACTTAATGAATTTTAAATGTACATCCTTTGATTAATTTAAGATTTCTATAAACTTATTCTGTACAAGATCTTTTGCTAAAGCAGGATTGAGTCCAACTTTTAATGCCGAAGTTTGAAGCAAATACCTTGTGCTATGAGTTGTACTTGGAGTATGTCTTGTGAATGACACTCAGGTACTAGCACACCAAATATCATCTCAATATGTGTGAAACTGATTGAATTAGAGCCAATTTTGTGGAGGTGTTTTTAGGTAAGTGGACTGTGGCGGCCATCTTGGATTGTTAATTGTAGAGTTACAGCTAATGACTGTTTCCTGCAAGTTTGATTAAAAAAATCGTCCAGTGGTTCATGATGTATTTTGATAACAGGCACACAAAAAAGCAAATAAAAAAATAAAAAATTAACCTTCACCTTTTATAACATGTAGCCTTCTGGTATAACAAAACTCTTGTGGGCGTTTTTTTGTGAGGCGCGTGGGTGTGACGGAGGAGGGGGCGGAGCGTTCTCGGATACGGCGCGCGCACGAAGAAGCGCGGAGCTCAACAACAGGCTGGCTGGAGTGTGCTGCTGCTGCTGCTGCTGTGGTGAATAATGTAGACTTATCACCGGGAACGACGCTTGCCAGGTAAGATGCTTAAACTTGTACTAAAGTAAAACAAATATATATTAATATTTCTGTGAACCGCACGAGCTTCACTTCACGCTCTCACCGCTCAGATAGTTTCATTCCTGCTGTTTGCTTAAACCTCAAAAAAAAAAAAAAAACTTCACAGCTGACACGATTCGGCGAAAAGAATGAGTACAGTTTTTAAAGTCATAATAATTTAGCTGTGAAAGTGTGTTGCGTGTTTGTGGACGACGGTTTTTCTCCTTTTAACCAGGTCTTTTCAGTTGTTTCCTGCAGTTTCTGAGTCTTTCCACATTTGAGTGTTTATCAGWCAACAGAGCAGAAGCTGCTTCTTTCATGGTGACACGAGTTTATTCTCGGATTACTGAAACGTAAATCTGACCCTTATCTTCTGTTGACTTTTGCCAGTTTTTCAAGGTTTTCTTCTTGTAACGAGTATTTGATAAGGTTTCTTACTTTAGTCTTGTCTGCCTCCTTTTCATTCAACATTTGTGACTCATTCTTTTTTGTAAAAAGATCAGTTTGAACAAGACTTAAGGAACACGACCATGCACACTAACTGCACACCAAAGGTTTTATATAACCTATAGTCTTTTCAAATAATCAGTATTTATTAATTTACCATTTCAAACTGTTGAACCTTTTTTATATTTGTAAGTTGGGAGACTCGGTCCTGTGTGAATGCTTTTAAATGAGGTTAGTCTTTTTAATTTCCCTTTAGGGCAGAGGTGCCCAAAGTGGGGCCCGCCGGCCAAAATTGGCCCACCAAGCCATTTCATTTGGCCCACCAGTAGTTTTTAATTGCCTGTCATCCTCTGTAGAAACTCTGTATTTCCATGTACAGTAATTACATCCAACGGCCCAATGACTAAATAAGGGACTGTAGCACAGATAGCTGACTTTGTCACTGAATTATATTAAGATTATGAATAAAATACAAGAAACCAAAGAAGATATTTACATTAGATTTAAGCACACGTAGATTTGAAAACTTTATAAGACCACAAATACTCATATTTTATCAATATATGAAATGTCCCATGAGCCTTTGCTGCCTGAGCAAGTAAGTGTACAGATTAAAAACACAAACAAACAAAATATGGGCCACTGCACTGGCTCTTGGCTTAATCATAAAAAGTAAAAGCGCCTTAAATGGTAAATGGACTGAACTTATAGAGCGCTTTTCAAGTCCCTCCGGACCCCAAAGCGCTTTACACTAACAGACATTCACCCATTCACACTCACATTCACACACTGATTTGCTTTACTTACTTACTTTACTTAAGAAATATTAGCATTTCCTCTATTATATTATTGCATTTGGCCCGCAGCCTTTGGGTAGATTTTCATTTTGGCCCTCTGAGGGAATAAGTTTGGGCACCCCTGCTTTAGGGTCTATATAGTATCTGTTTTATCATGCACTGAATGTTATTACATGTTTGCAACACAGAGGGGCGCCACTAAGGGGGTGTCAGCGGGGGCAATGGCCACCCCTAGAAAATTGTGCTCTGGACCTCACTTGACCAGACAGTTTTATACTCTTCAAGCTGGTGTACATTTTTAAAAAAAAATTTCCCTAGCTATTTAGAATTAGTAGAACATCATAAACATACAAACATAGTTTTTGAGCAATTAGGGGTCAAAACAAATGATTATGTATTTTATTTAAACGTAAAAATAAAACTCAGCATCTAGTCCAGTGGTTCCCAAACTTTTTATCTTCTGACCCACAAAATATCCATGGCAAAAACTTGTGACCCCAAATATTACTGGTCTGAGTACACRAACTTCGTTAATAACCCTAAAAACACCGGCTTTTTTGAGAATCTAAACAACTTGTACAAAAATATAAATACTTATTTATACTTATTTTGTGTTTTTGTAATAATTATAGTCAAAGTATTACATCAGTAATTATTTTATTACCCTTTAAATTGATTTCTGGAGATTATCCAAGGTGCTTCATGACCCATAATTGGTGGTTCCAAAACTTTTCAGCTTTTGACCCACAAAATAACAGTAGCAGAGACCTGTACCCCCAGCTGTTTTTGGATGATAAACATTTGTATCAGGTCAACTAAACATGGGTAGCCTATAGTAACAATATTTTTATACTACATTTATCCATTTTAAATATACTAACCTTACACCTTTGTAACAACTGGCCAAAATGTAACTAATTTAAAAAATCTTTTCAGGACCCCACCTTGATGTTTCGGGACCCCAGTTTGGGTCCCGACCCCAACTTTTGGAAACACAGATCTAGTCCCCAACATTACGATGAAGGGTCTCAGGAGGCTAAATGTGTAATATATATTTATTTATAAATATCAGTTTAGGAGATAGCAATCTTCAAGAAGCTGAATAGTGACAGTGCTTTTCTCATATTTTCTCGGGGAAAACAACAACAACAACAACAACAACAAAGCTAGAACTATTCCTTAACTCCTAAATTGCTGTTATTTGTCAGATAACTTACATGACAACATAACAAACCTGAACTTCTGTTCTAGCTTTTAGTTTTAGTGTCCCACCCCAGGACCTTTTTGGCCCTCACATGTCCCGTACCATTAAAAAGACTCTGGAGGCACAAACAGTATAATCACATCACTTTCTGCACATTATTTGCGTCATTGCATCACAGCGGTTGATGGGCCACAGTTTTACTGCTTGCCTGAAGATAAATACATAAAAAGTTTTTTTTTTTCCTTTTTTTAAATTGAGAAGTTGTCATTCAGTCAGTGTCAGGTTTATACTGCAAGCAATAACTACACATGGAGGAAGCCCAGTCACTGTGCATTATTCATACTAACACAGTAGGGCTGGACGATAAATTGGTTTAATCGATTAATTCGAATTTGCCATTTATAAAGATTTAATTTTGGGAAAATCGAGATTTTTTTTCTCACCAGTGCACTCTTTGGGGCTTCTGTAGTTCAGAGGTCACCCCACCTGTCCCTCAAGATGCTTGGTACACAACATGACAACATGACAGCTAGCAGGGAGGATCCACTTCCCAAAAAAAGTCACTGTTTCTTCAGTTTTCTGGAACTGGTTAGGTTTTGCAACCTTAGACTTGGAGCAACAAACACCTCACTGCAAAATCTGTTTGAAGACTATTGCTACAAAAAGCAGGAGTACAACAATTTTGTTTCGACACCTGAAACAGAGGCACTCTGTTAAGTGGGAAGCAAAATCGATTAAAATCGAAAATCGAATTTGGGATGAAAAAAATCGGAGATTTTTTTTTTATGGCCACATCGTCCAGCCCTAAAACACAGTGTGAAAGGCAGACATATTGGTAAACTGGTGCTTAGTTGTTAATAAATAGTATTTTTTTTGGTCCTATGTTATCTATTTTAACTTTTTAAAAGTTTGCACACTTGTTTAATGTTGATGTTACACAATAATGGCCACAAGTCCAACTCATCTGAGTTATAATTCCGGGTTAGAAGATAAACCTTATCACATGTCTGTTTTATTTATTTATTTTTTGTTCGGGTTGGTTGATACCACTGACGTGTTGAAGAAAAGAAGGTTCATAACTGAAAAGAATCAACACATCTAAGTCTTCATTCATTCATTCATTCATTCATTCATTCATTCATTCATTCATTCATTCATTCATTCATTCATTCATTCATTCATTCATTCATTCATTCATTCATTTGAATCATAAATAGACCTACTATTATATTACAGACCTTCTCAGGTCTGAGAAGGTGGTGAAGACTTGATTTGAAGATGTTTGTGGAGCACACACAAGGAAAGTCAGCGTTAGATTTCCACCAACAGAGAAAATCCACATCTTCAACGATCACAGGTTCTCACAGTTATGCCTTCTGCTCGCTCTCCCAGAGTGCAACTTGTTTTATTTATGTTTTTTTTTTAAGATAGTGAAATCTTACCGTTTTCAGGTTTTATAGTTTTGTTCTGCTCTTCAGCCTCAGCTCTAGTGGCTGCTGCGCTACCGTGAAAGGTTGTGATGGTAATAAATGCATTGTGTTCTTGTTTTCATGGTGTACGCAATTTGACAGAGTTCTGTTACAGACACTTAAATGTACATTCATGAATCTATACACAGTACTTGACCTTGGTGGAAAACTTTTAGTCAAGAAGAGGTTTGAAAGAGAATTGGAACAGATAACGATGCCGGATGCAGCTGGAGAATTACTTATCATGACAAACCTAAATACCTACAGTATAGGTCTGTCTTTCTTTACTCAACTTGAAAAGCTTCATCTGGAAAAATGACTATTAGACCACACCCATGTCTTTTCTTCAGATCAAAGTAAGCGAAGGGTGGAACTGAGCTTGTGGTAGTGGTTGTGTAGTTGTACATAACTAAAATATTAGAAATAGTATCAGTCCTGGATGGAACTTTTGTTTTAAGTTTGCAAAGAATGAGGAAAACAATTCAGCCCATGAACTTGATAAATGTTCAGGGTACACGTGAGACCAAACATAAAATTATTAAAAATGGAAGAAGTACATTTCCTATGTTTTTAATTGTATGTTGTTGATATGAATTTAACATCTTCAAAGACATCTTATATAAAAAGTAGAAAAACATAGTTTATTGATTTTTTTATGAGCAAATTTCAAACAAAAGACAGTCACAGTACAGTAGTTTGTCTACTTGTTTCTGAAATATTAACAAAAATGTATATAACAACAAGGTATCAAAACAGACAAATAATGCTCTCAAAAATATTTTACCTCATATGTGAAGGAAGAAAAAACATTAGAGAAATGGCCTTTTCCGTAAAAATGCAGCGTGAACACTCTGTTGAATGAGCTGACTGAAATTTACTGAAGAAGCAACAAGTTGTTTAAACTTTTGAGAAATTTCTAGCTAAAAACCAAATAAGCTAAATTCTAGTAAAAGTGTCAACATACTAAATAAACATAGCAAATCACTTTATAAAAGGTAATTAGTAAAAGACTAGCTAAAAGCTAACCGCAGGAAAAGGCTAACTAAAAGCAAAAGTTTAAAT